TTAAATAAGGATCAATTACCCTATTAAGTAAGAAACGTGCACGTTCGTTAACCATAACATCCTACAAAAGTCCCCGACTGCGAATAACGCTTATTAAAGTTACCATTTTATAACGTGTCATTATTTGTTGCTAAAGATACATGTCCAATCGGCGGATTGAGCCTTTCTCCCGACTGCGCTTGCGAATTGGATGTTTGTTGTTGTTGATGCTGTTGTTGTTTGTTGATGCTGTTGTTGTTGTTGTTTGTTGATGCTGTTTGATCGTAATACAGATAATGCTTAACGTGTGTGTGTGCGCGTGTGTGCGTGTGTGTGCGCGCGTGTGTGTGTGTGTACACGCACGCATCATCTCATACACGTACCATCTCTCTCTCTCTCGCACACACAACATACATGATGGCTCGTGCACACGTACTTACGCATGCACGTACCTTCTTGCACTAATCGCAATCTGTTATTCTTGAATATTCACACGCAATCGGTACACGCACGTATAACACACGCACACATACAATGCACATGATAATACGCGCGTGCACACAATACACACGTGCACTAACGCACATACACGCACACACGTATACAATGTGAATATAACCTAACGTTTACATCAAACACACACACCCAACCTTACACACACACGCACGCAAACACAGAGCTACACACGCACACACAACTATACACGCATGCATGAACACAACACTCCACACATACACACATCAACACAATATCAATTTGATATACTACGTTCCTGTCCCACGCACACATTATATACAACTTTGCAATGTCATCTCACGTATACTCTCAGTGACACACACACATGCACACACGCACACACGAACACACAATATCTCCACCCCCACGCCTCACCCCCCACTATTCGCGTCCATCCCATCTATATATTACTTGCACACAATCTGTTATTACATCACGCATGCATTCAGTCGCACACGGACACACACACACACACACCACCACACTCCACCACTACACACACACACGACCAAACACACACACACCACCACACACACACCACAACCACACCCCACCACACCACAACACAACCACACCACACACCACACACACACGACCACACACCACCACACAAACACCACCACACACACACCACACACACACCACCACACACACACCACCACACACACACCATAAACACACCACAACACAACACACACGCACACCACCACACACACACAACCACACACACACACCACCACCCACACATCACCACCCACAAACCACCACCACACACAACCACACACCACCACACACCATACACACCACCACACTCCACCACCACCACACACACCCACACCACCACACACACACCACCCACCCCACCACCACACACACACACACCACCACCCACACACCACACACACCACCACACCACACACCACCACACACCACCACACACACGACCACACACCACCACACACCACACACACACACCACCACACACACACAAACCATAACCACACCACACACCACAACACAACACACACGCACACCACCACACACACACGACCACACACACACACCACCACCCACACATCACCACCCACAAACCACCACCACACACAACCACACACCACCACACACACACACCACACACACACCACACACACCACACACAACACCACACTCCACCACCACCACACACACCCACACCACCACCACACACACCCACACCACCACACACACACCACCCCACCACACCACCACACCACACACACACACACCACCACCCACACACCACACACACCACCACACACACCACCACACACACCACACACACACACCACACACACCACACACACACACACCATAACCACACCACACACCACAACACAACACACACGCACACCACCACACACGCACACCACCACACACACACATCACCACCCACAAACCACCACCACACACAACCACACACCACCACACTCCACCACCACCACACACACCCACACAACCACACACACACCACCCCACCACACCACCACCCACCCCACCACGACACCACACACACACACACCACCACCCACACACCACACACACCACCACACACACCACCACACACACACCACCACACACACCACACACACACCACCACACACACCACCACCCACACACTACCCACACACCACACACACCACACACACCACCACACCACCACACACACACCACACACACACACCACCACACACACCACCACACCACCACACACACACCACACCCACACACCACCACACACACCACCACACACACCACCACACACACCACCACACCACCACACACACACCCCACCACACACACCACACACACCACCACACACACACCACACACACACCACCACACACACCACAACACCACCACAACACCACCACACACACACCACACACACACACCACCACCTACACCACCACACACACCACCACACCACCACACACACCACCACACACACCACCACACACACCACCACACACACCACCACACCACCACACACACACCACACACACACCACCACACACACCACCACACACACCACCACACCACCACACACACACCACACACACACACCACCACACACACCACCACACACACACCACACCCACACACCACCACACACACCACCACACACACCACCACACACACCACCACATTTAATCTGTCTCTCCTCTTCCTCCCCGTGCCCTCCCTACACAACCCCACGCACACCGCACTGTACATGTTACAACACACCAACACTGTACATTCACCCCACACACTCAAGATTGTACCTCACTCTCTCTCTTATCCCCTCCACGCACATCCACCCCACCTCACACACACACCCACACACACACACCCACTCACACACCACCCCACTCGACAATGAACGTCACCCCCTCCCCCAACACCCACACACACCCACACTGCCCACCCCAACACACACACACACTCCCCTCCCCCAACACACACACACACACACACTCCCCACCCCCTCCCCCAACACACACACACCTACACTCCCCACCCCAACACACACACACTCCCCTCCCCCAACACACACACACTCCCTCTCTCTCCATCTCACTCTCTCTCTCTCCATCTTCCGCTCTTTCACACAATCCTCTCCCCCTCCTCACACTACCACACACACACTCTACTCAACACACACACACTCTACTCAACACACACACACTCTACTCAACACACACACACTACCACACACACACACACTTTACTCAACACACACACTCTACTCAACACACACACACACTCTACTCAACACACACACACATACACACACTACTACACACACACACTCTGCTCAACACACACACACACTCTACTCAACACACACACACTCTACTCAACACACACACATACACACACTACTACACACACAAATACTCTACTCAACACACACACACACACTCTCCTCAACACACACACACACTCTACTCAACACACATACACACACTACTGCACACACACACACACACTCTACTCAACACACACACACTCTACTCAACACACACACTACCACACACACACTACCACACACACATTCTACTCAACACACACACATACACACACTACTACACACACACTCTACTCAACACACACACACTCTACTCAACACACACACACACACACACTCTTTTCAACACACCCACACACACACTCTACTCAACACACACACACTCTACTCAACACACACACACTACCACACACACACACACTTTACTCAACACACACACTCTACTCAACACACACACACACTCTACTCAACACATACACACATACACACACTACTACACACACACACTCTGCTCAACACACACACACACTCTACTCAACACACACACACTCTACTCAACACACACACATACACACACTACTACACACACAAATACTCTACTCAACACACACACACACACTCTACTCAACACACACACACACACTCTCCTCAACACACACACACACTCTACTCAACACACATACACACACTACTGCACACACACACACACACTCTACTCAACACACACACACTCTACTCAACACACACACTACCACACACACACTACCACACACACATTCTACTCAACACACACACATACACACACTACTACACACACACTCTACTCAACACACACACACTCTACTCAACACACACACACACACACTCTTTTCAACACACCCACACACACACTCTACTCAACACACACACACTCTACTCAACACACACACACATACACACACTACTACACATACACACACTCTACTCAACACACACACACACACTCTACTCAACACACACACACACTACTCAACACACACACACTCTATTCAACACACACACACTCTACTCAACACACACACACTCTACTCAACACACACACTCTACTCAACACCCCGCTGCATACGCATCATCTCTCTCTCTTCCCTATTCACACCACTAACAACACACACACAGCACACCACCACACGATACACACCACTACCACCACCACACTACACACCACCACCATCACCACCACCACACTCCACACCACCACCACACTGCACACCACCACCACACTACACACCACTACACTACACTACACACCACTACACTACACTACACACCACCACCACACTACACTACATACCACCACACTACACACATCACCACCACACTACACACCCCTACCACCACCACACTACACACCATCACCACCACACTACACACCACCACCACACTACACACCACCACACTACACACCACCACACTACACACCATTACCACCACCACCACACTATACACCACCACACTACACACCACCACACCATTCACCATCACCACCACCACGCTGTGCACACAACCACATACGCACGTCTCCCACCGCACACACACACACACCACCTCTCAAATCCACATTAACAACCAAAACAACCGAACGACCAATCAATCAAACAAACAACCAACAACAACAACAACAACCCCTAACCCACAGCTGCTGTCCGCGTGCGCAAGAAGCGCTGCCCTTACACCAAGTTCCAGATCCGCGAGTTGGAGCGAGAGTTCTTCTTCAACGTCTACATCAACAAGGAGAAGCGGCTGCAGCTCTCGCGCCTACTCAACCTCACCGACCGACAGGTCAAGATCTGGTTCCAGAACCGACGGATGAAGGAGAAGAAGCTAAACCGGGACCGGCTGCAGTACTACGCGGGGAACCCCTTTTTATAGAGGGACCAAGGGGGTCGGGGTGGGATGTGGGTGGTCGGCCAAGGGGCTGATCGCTCCCTCGCTACCGCTGTTGGTGGCGTTGGTGGCTCTACTCTCAGAGCCGTCCCGAGCGCACGGCACATTGGGGTGTTCGCCCCGGGCCCCGCGCTTTGGGGGGGTGGGGAGTTTAAAGGGGTTGGGTTGTGGTGGTGGTGGGGGCGCCCCAGGACCCCGCAACCCACCCCCCCCCCCCCCTCAACTATGGACAGCGCTGGTGCATCTGCCAGTCATCTCATCTCAAGTCAAGTCATGGCACCTGCGTCTGTTCCGTGAACCTCCTGAACAGCGGGCACCAGTGTGGTGGTGGCGGTGGTGGTGCATCGACTCCTTCGCGCGTGACTCAAAGTGCACCTAGCCTGGCACGAGCGCCGTGGTTGACCTTGTTGTGCTGCACGTGGCGCCTATTATCCAGCACAGATGTCGCTGTGAAGCTCCCCCTAAGTGGTGTGGAGTTGTGGGTGGGCTTTGGTGAGGTTTGCCGTACCTCCCCCACTCGCCCGACCCCCCTTCTGGCTCGCCAGCACAAGGAGGTATACAGCGAGAGGGATTAATCGGCCATCTGTTTGTGTATGGGGATCGAGGGTTGCGCCCTCGCACAGTGGGGGAGGGCGGGGGGGGGGGAGTTTTTCCGGATGTTTTCCAGTTTCCTCCTCTCGTATAATAATAATTATTATAATTGTCATCATAATTGTTATCATCATATTATCGTTATTTGAAACACTCATTATTAATTGGCTGAAAATATCTTGGTAATTTTTTTTTAAACCTCAATGTAGCGGGACCCTTCTGAAAAAAAAGGCCTAGCTAGGCCTTAGCGTGGCCCTCCTGGATAAACAATTGTCAGTGTCACTAAGTACCTCTGTTGTTATTCGTCAAACACACTTCACTAACGACGACCGTGTATGTTTACGAAAGGCACTGTGACTTCTTTGTACGGCGTTCAGACGCCAGCGAGAGTGATATCATGGACGTGCGTGGCTTTCTTGTTTTCGTGCGCACGTGTGCGTGCGTGCGTGCGTGCGTGCGCGTGCGGGGAGCGGTGGAGCAGTGGTTAGCGCACTGGCGCTACGAACCCGAGGTAGGTGGACGTGTTCCTGCCCCCCACCCACCCACACCACCACCCGTGCCGGCCTTCGTAGTTGCTCGCTAACAGCACTTGCACCCACCACGACAGCCTGCTAAAGGCTATGATATATACGAGGGGATCTTTGTCTCTTTGTACGAGTTCGTGAGTCGAGTTTCGTTCCACTCAACCTCGCAATGAGCCGGTGTTTTAAACGTCAGCGCTGGGAAGACAAAGGCGGCCGTGATTGTTGACTATCCCAAACCATCGTGTTACCGTTGACCGACCTTCACATGTGCTCGCGAACAGCACTTGCTCTGCACACTTTGCTCTAAAGAGTTCGACGGGGTGGAGAGATCTTTGTGTTGTAAGGAGATCTGTTGCAGCGTGTGCGGCGTAGTTCGTGCCCGGGCCACGGTCAATGTCAGGGGGATGTCTAAGAACCGACGGCGCTGGAGCGAACATCAGCACCGAGGAGACAAGGGTAGCACTTGCTCCAACAGCCTGTGTATGCTATATGGGGGATCTTTGTCCTTGCTGTGTGTGTGTGTGTAATTGGGCAAGGGTGGTTTGACTCATGCATTGATTGGTCGCCGTCGTGATAATGTGGAGTGGTCACAGACGTTTGAGCTTGATGGTTTGTGTGTATCAGCGTGTCTGTCTGTGTATATGTGTGTTTGTGTGTATGCGTCCCTCTGTCTGCATCTTTGTGTGTGGCTGTGTATGTGTGTGTATGTCTTTACGTCTGTGTATGTGTTTATATTAGCGCGTGTGTTTGCTGGGGAGCGGTGGCGCAGCGGTTAGCACACTGCGCTATGAACTCGGCGACCCGGGTTCGATGCTCGCTCACGGCCAACACCAGTGACGATTATCTGAACCGGTCGTAGGCCTCCCCTAGGTCGACTCGGCCTCAAATGAGCACCCGGTGCGGTGTGTAAACATCGCCACTCGGGAGATAAAGGCGGTCGGGCGTAGTGCTGGCAACCCACCAACTCGTGCACTGCTCCGGCCTTCATAGGTGTTAACAGCACTTGCCCCAACAGTATGTTAAGGCTATACGGGGGAGCTTTGTGTGTGCTTATTAGTGTTGTGTGTGTATCCATGTGTTCCTGTGTGTCTGAGTCTTGTTCGTGTGCATATTTATACAATTTGTGTCTGCCTCTGTGCCTACGTGTGTGTTCATGTGTGCGTTCATAATGTGTGCATCAGAAGGTGTTTATGGGGTGTACGTTAATTCGTGTGCGTGCGTATGTGTACATTATGTTCACGTGTATGCACGTATCAATAGAAATACAGACACACACAGGACTTCATGCGTATGTACCGGGTCGCTGGTTGACTGGGGTAGGTGGCACGTGTTTCGCAGCGACAGCGAGAGGTAATGATGGATGCCGTGTATCGGGTGTGGAAATGTGTTTTACTGCCTGCCGACCCCGATGAAATGAAGCTCTCGAGATATCTATATATATGTGTGTGTGTGCCGTTGAAGTGCCGATGGAATAATTTCACGACGATTCATAATTTATTTCGAGGGTTTTGACCCACCGTGATTATGTCCGTGGCCAAAGCAAAATCATTTTGAACCGCCACGCGTAACGATCGTTGTTTTTTTATTTGGAACGCGCCGCTAATTGGTATTGTATCGTCTGCTGGATGTGCGAACGATACAATACCGCTTTTGTAAATGTTGTGGCTTGGCTCTCCAACACACCAGTGACGAATTGGCACGTTCTGTTTACGTGACAACCCTTACTAGTTGGCTGTGTCGGGTGGTGGCGGGTTTTTAACGGCACACATTTAAGTGTTTACGCGAAAAAAACTCTTATTAGCAGCGATTATAGATTACATCGTACAAAGTGTAGGCAGCACTTGGAACATTAACATCGGCTGCTGCTGCAGTAGTTCTGACACAGACCACACAATCCAGGCCTTGTAGTATTATGCGCACTACTGCTGTATACATTCACAGAGCATGTACTGAATGTGTATGCGGTACACGCGTGTGCGATGTGAATCTGTATTTTAAATGCGGTGATTGCTGCAACATGTGCCCCGGTATACACGATGTGTGTGTGTGTACAGGTTGTGTGTGTACTGTACATGTAAACACAGCAATTATATACTGCATTTTTTTCTCGGGAGTGCACACCACGCGTATTACACTTGTGTTCTCATACACATAGTGGTTATATCCGGTATACACATACGATTCTGTGTACATGTATGACGATGTATGCATGTACACAGCGCATAACTGACGTGTAACCTTAGCGCGTATCGATTTTTCGCCGCCTCGACATATTATATTTTTGTTGGTGTGTGTGTGTGCGTGCTAGCTATTGTTGTCATCAAACCTCGCACCATCCGACGTAGCCGAACGAAATGCCACGTGTGTGTTGTGTGAGTTCGGGCGGCAGGGGCTTTCGACGACGAAGAAACGTGGCGAGATCAATCACAAAAAACAAATGTAATTACGTACCATAACGTACGTATCGTACATGCAGTCTCTATATATATAGTAAGTCAGTGGTTCTTCACCTTACGCTGTGTTTCTCAATCGTCACACAAAGGTATAATGTTAATACTTGCCTAGGGTTTGATGAAACTAATTTGTACTCACGTTCTCGTGCTTCATTCGTGTGCGTTTTCGATGATTTACCTTCTACAGAATAAACTCCGGGTCGTGTGCCTCGCACCCCCAGAAAGGGCATCTCGCACACGCCACGGGTGTCGTGATGCACCGCCAGGCTAAGAAGAAGGGCCACTGCTGTAAGCAGACACATTGTGCCGCATACATCATCATCATCATCTCGAGCGCATTTCGTAAATTAGCTCGGTGCAAATGCATATAGGTCGAGTGAATTATACGCATTCGGTAACAATAATTAGCATTATAATTGCAATGGCCTTTGTTGATCTAAGGTAAGCCTCGAGACGATTTAGTTTCAAGAGCGTTCCGCCACATCGGGATGGCCGGCCGCATGGATTCCATGACAATAACCAAGACGACATTAAGCATCGGGTAAACAACAACAACAACTAATGTTATAGTCGAAGTGTTTATCGGAGGGGATTGAATAAGGCCCAAGCAACGCGCTATTCGTTTTCGTGTAAGTTGAATTCTTGTACTAATTAAGTTGCATAAAATGCAACCGACATTATGAATAGAGCGTGGTGAGCCTTTTTAAGAGTTGAATCGATTAATCGACTCGCTATCGATTATTGTTCATTTCGATTGGCATTTTTGGTTGTCCTCGTTACGAAATTGTTTACGTGAAATACCGCCGCATTCACCGCAATGGTACACATAGTAGTAGTAGTAGTCGTAATAATAATCGTAATCGATTCTTTAATCGAATCGTGACAATGTGTTGAATTTCCGATGGGGACGAGACAAATGGAGGTGGGGAGGATGGGGGATTGGGGGTTTTTGTGATTAAAATCCTTTAGCACTGCTAAAAAAAATAATGTACATATATAAGTAATCTCGATGACATCTTGAAATGCGAATAATGCTGATACATTGCAATCTTCCGCTTTTGCTATACTGTGCACGCGCGCGCGTGTACGTGTGTGTCTGTGTATAATACAATGTGTGTGTATGCGTGTGTGTGTGTGTATTACCTCTGCTAAACGTGTCGCGAGCACTTACAGGCGAGTGAGTTTGAGCAGATTAATAAGATACCAATAAACACAAAAAACGACTTCACAGATTACGGCTCCGATTCGCGCGCGCAACGAGTAAACGTTACCCCCCAAACCCCACCTCTAGGCTTAGTATCACAGTCATTCTAAACGCTAAAGGCATTTCACAGGAGCTAGAGAGCGAGATATGGTGGGCGGGGAAAGCGAGAGAGAGAGAATATCAATATCAATGGGGGGGGGAGACGGTGTAGATGATTTTAGTTGTGTGTTTACTAAGATTGACCTCTCGTGTGCAATCTACAGCACGCGCGCGAAAAGTAGTAGAAGTCGTATACGCAACGGCACGAAACGCCTAGGTCGACTCAGCCTTAAACGAGTACGTGGTGCGGTGTTTTGAACGAAGAATTAGCACTGTGGGGGGTGGGGGGGGGGGGGTCGGGATACAAAGTCGGGGTCGGGGCAGGCTTAGGGATGGTCCATACCAAATGTATGTTGCCTGTGTGTGTGGGTGTCTGTCGTTCCGGCCTTTTAATAGGTGCTCGCTAACAGCACTTGCCCACAGAAGTCTGTTAAAACGCTAAACGGGAGGAATCTTTGACTATATTTATCCACACAATATATAATGTTTACCCATTATATGGACCGTATATATATAAATGAACGACGAATAAGTAAGCCTCCGCTATGTATCTCTACGTGGATACAACAAAAAAAAATGTTTTA